CCCCCCCCCCCCCCGCCCCCCCGCAAGGTAGCTCGAACTGCTTTTGTGTTTCTGGTGTGCACTCCTTGCTATCGTGATCACAGCTTTCCGCTTTCCGACTGCGTTCTTTCGAATGTACTGAACAGCAAACATGTCGTTTGTGCCCTTTTCGAATGCCTGAGCCGCAAAACCGCTTTTGTTTGGGGGGGGGGGGGGTTCTGGTAAGGCCCGAGGCCACTGCTTGTGGAGGTCGGTGTCGCCCCTTTAAGCTCCTCTTGCCTCTACCTTTTACTGATTCCGGGATGCCCAGCCGGCTGCTTCAATCGGGGGGGAGGTCACTAATCCTAAGTTGCCAGCAGACCCTAAACCTGAATCCTACAGGCCCGGAGTCGTGCTTTCTGAGCCCACCGAGGCTTGAAGCTGGGTGGTTTCGAGGTCACCATGGCAGACGACTTCGATGGTGATTTCAAGGCCTCCGGCAGCAATGCTTGATGAATGTTATCTGTTCGATATCGGGTTTTCGAAGGGATATATACGGTTCTACAGGGGTGATGTGGCGTCATGGTAAGACATGTTCTAGAGGGGTTCGCATAGGCAAAGATGTTTCTGCCATGATGATGATCGGCTCCTGTTGCTGTTGCAGCGGGTAGTACCGCTGCAGTTCTTACTAGAGTTGCTATCACTCTAAGCATGGTTCCCATTGTTCTTAGATATTCTTAGGATTGTTGTTCGCACTTGTTGTGTCCATGGGCTTTTCCGGTATCCTATCCCGTTGTCACGAAATTATTGCAGATGTGGTCATTCTGCACGGCATTCTTTGCGAATGCTGCGGCCCTTTCATGCGAGTGGCACTGCGGGTCCCGACAAAGTTGCCCTTCTGAACCATGCAAGCAGAGGATGTTCTTGGACGTGTGTTGACCTAGACCCTAAACCCTAAACCCTAAACCACTTTTGCTCTGTTGGAGCCGCCCTTGCACCGGAGCATTAAGTGCTTCTCAAAAGCTGGGAGTGAGCTGCTCAGCCTAGGGCTTCTGGGTCGTCCCAGATGCCCAGGTTTCATAAAATTTAAAATCTAGAAACATTTCGAAACCCTTGAAGCCCAAACCCCAAAAGACCCTACTCCTGCAAGCCCTCAAGCGGGCAAAACCCCCCACTTCGCAGGAACAAGTACTAATTTCTGGAAGCCCCACTTGGAAGTTCATGGGTAGCCCTCAGTGAGGTTTTTGGTAGTGTATTCTAACCCATATTAGGGGACGTATAACTTTACGTATAGCTTGGAGGCAAAGGGAGTCTCCCCGCCGGGCGGTGGCCTCTTCGGGCCTGGCGACGTGCCGGAGGCCTCCCTACGTATCCGGATTGCAGGGGCCTTTAGGGTTTAGGGTTTAGGGTTTAGGGGTTTGGGTTTAGGGTTTAGGGTTCAGGGTTTAGGGTTTAGGAGTTTAGGGTTTAGGATAAGGACAGGGTTGGTTCTCGTTGTTTTGGAGTTTGGAAGGGCCTTGGTACTCGTTTTACCAAGGGACGTTTTTTCAATGGTTTGGGTAGGGCTTGACATTGATGGAAGTCATGTTGAAGACGTTACAAGCTGATCTATGACATAGCCCCGTGCTGAGATCAACAAGACAAAGGCTTTATAGCCTGTTGCAAGGGCTTGTGCGTTTACCCTAAACCCTAAACCCTAATGGGTACAGTTGTTCATCTTCTCATTGTGCTCTTGGCTCAGGGTTGTGGACGGTGTAGGGGTCGAGGGAAGTTTCCGCTGAAGAAGGAAGGAACAGCGAATCTGATTGGTTCTTACAGTGCCCTAAACCCCACCCATGGGCTCCAAAGTAGTTCCCTTTTTGGGATTACCTTATAGGATCCTCAATATAGACCCACAAAAAGGAACCATTGTGGAGCCTATGGGTAGGCCAAGTAATACCCCGAATCCCGCAAGCCCTGGAAAACTGCCACGCCGAAACCCCAAACAAAGACCCTGAGCCCTAAAATATGAGCCCCCCAAACCCCCCAAAAGCCCTGAAGCCCCCGAACCCCCCAAAAACCCTAAACCCTAAACCCCCCAAAACCCCTGAACCCTACACCATGCACCCCTGAGCCCTAAATTGGCAGCTCTGGGCCGCAATTTCAGGATTTAGGGTTTTTGGGGTTGAAGGGTTTAGGGTTTAGGGTTCAGGTTTGGGGGTTTAGGTTTAGGGTTCAGGTTTTTTGGGTTTAGGGTTCAAGGTTTGTGTTTTACACTTTTAACATTACAAACCCTAAACCCTAAACCCTTAAAGCTTTTAGGGTTCCGGGTTCCGGGTTTTTGTCAGCCTCTGGCCGGGAGGTGAAGCCGCCGCCTCCGCCCAGCCGGCCGAAGGTCCTCCGTTATCGGAGCCCCTTTTTGGGTGGTTGTCAATATGGTCCCTTTTTGGGTCCTGGGTTTCTAGGGTTTAGGATTTAGGGTTTAGGGTTTAGGTTGTCAAAATTATGGTCCCTTTTTGGGTCCTTATTATAATGCGGCACCTATTATTTAGGGTGCCCCAAAAGGGGCCATAGTTTTGACAACTACCCTTTTGAAGCCCTTCTGCGTTTCGGAAAAGGGGATACCCATTACATTGCATTATGTTGTATATAGTAGGATAAGATCTTCTACTATAATATACTATATCATGGCATGAGATATCCTACGGTCCTATACTTCATCTATAAGGATTCCTTTATAGAGTGGGGCGTGCAGCTACCAGTATCTCTAACATCGGGGCCTTAATAATGAGAATAGGGCTTTCGGGTGAATGACACGACAGTGACGAACAGGAGCCTTGTGGAATGATGTGTGTCGTTGTTGAGGCCCTTATAGTAGCTAATAGAAGGCAGGCGGGATTCGGCGAGATCCTGTCGATGGGCTCAAAGCTTCAGTATCTCGAGTACCCTCCAGCACAGTCGTCTCGTGATTCTTATTCCCATGACAATTAAACCTCTTCTTGTAACAATCGATTTATGCTGTAGGCGGTGGCTTCCATGCAGGTAGCGAACCGAACCCCAAAAGAAGGGACTAAAATCATCAGGCTCCAGCGAAGCCGAAGCTGGACAAGTTTGTGCCGCTCGGATTGTACCCTTCTGGGAAGCTGACGATGTGTGCCATAGTGCTCTCCTCATTTACATCTGCAAATACATTCTTTACACCACACCCAACTTGACAGGAGCTAGGAACAGGTGGGCACGAGGTCACGGATTGTTACTTGCATGTCCGCCAGTCTCAGCATGTAGAGTCCCGAACAGTTTCAACGGCACGTCGCAGAAAATTGTTTTTGCTATGAAGTTGCTCTAGACGTAATCTTTCACCCCGCACCTGGCTAGAGGGATCCATTCGAGCCCCGATGTTTGTTTAGGTTCTGGGACAGGTTTGCCGAACCAGAAACAGAATCATCCAAGAGACTACCGGGTCCTCCGTTCTAAATACCATGGCAAGTGGTTTGCGTTCCAGTGGCAGCCTTGGTAGGGGAGAATTAGCCCTAGTAGTAGCTGAGCAGCAGCAGCAGCAGTAGTAGCAGCAGCAGTAGCAGTAGTAGTAGAAGTAGTAGAAGTAGTAGAAGTAGTAGAAGTAGTAGAAGTAGTAGTAGTAGTAGTAGTAGTAGTAGTAGTCGTAGTAGAGTAGTA